GAGTTCAGGGGGTGCAGCATAGGTGGATGCTAACACTTGCACTTTACGTGCCATCCCGTGGTGCCCGACTTGTTGGGGGAGTGCTGGGGGGATTACAAAACTCCCAGGACACATCTGAGCCAGGCAGGGGGGAAGTTACTTACCATTGAACTGCATGGCAGCAAAGGGAGCTGGAGGAAAAATTTCCTCAGAGCATTTAAAAGGTTTGTAGTGTTTTGGTGTTTCACTGATGTCAGAGACTGTTTTCCCACAGCCAAGACATTTCTTTTGTTCAGATTGACGGCAGTGGTTATTCCGTCAGAGGTTTTTTCTTCCCATTGAAAAGGGTAGAGAAACACAATCAAACTCTCTCAGCCTCACTCCATGCTCAGCGAGGAGTGGTTCCTGTCACAGAAATCCATCACAGGGGCATAGAAGAGACAAGCCCATCAGACTGTTTCTTCCACAGATATTCCTATTTTGCTGAAGACAATCAGGGGCCAAGGAGAAGCCCTGCAGCTGGCTGTGGCTTTCGGCAACACCATGGAAAGCCCTGGGTGCTTGGCTGCACTCCCAAAAAAGCTGCTGCTGGATGGAGTGGTGCTCTGCAGGTCATGAGGGTCTCTCTGTTTCCCCCACCTAAGCCAGGAAAATAAAAGGGTTGAATAAATGCAACTTGTCTGCTGTGGCCGCCCCAAGTCCAGCTGCTGCAGCCGGGCTCGGCACTGCTGCCTCCCACCACTTCAGCCACACCAGCTACTTATTAAAAATAGATTTTTTTCTTCTTGGAAAGGACAAAAAACCAAACAAGAAACCTTTCTTTTAAGATGATGCAGACTCATGTTTTCACAAACCCAAATGCAGCCAAAAATATCTGCTTTAAACCCTAGTGCTGGCTCCTGGGTAAATCACTGTGTTCAGCTCTAAAGGCCACCCCCAACACACAAAAAATGCCATGCAGGTGGATAAGAAAAATGCATACATTGACGTGGGCATTTTTTTATCCTTGCCTAACCCATCGGGCAAGGTAACCCTTACAACTTCATCGCACAATCAGCCCAAAACAGGGCGCAGGAACACCTCCAGCGGTGGCAGAGCCCATGGCTGACCTACCCAGCTACTCTTCCTGCCTGCCCGACAGCAGAGAGCAGGAGCATTCCCCCTGAATGCTTACCACACACAGGCACATGCTGCAAAAACCAAGCACACGGGATACTGCTGAAAATGCCTGAAAACCCTCAAAGCGAGCATCTTTTGGCCACAGTATTTCTGGCCATCCAAAACCTCTCACCCTGTGAAGCGCTGCCCACCATCAAGCCCCTCTGGATGGCAAGCAGGGTGGTCCCACTCACACATAGATGAACAGCATTTGATGTGGACAGCCCAGTGACATTAGTGTCCCCCAAAACCTGCCTATGTTGCCAGGTGCTGGGCATGCCCCTGCATGGGGCCAACACGAGAGGCTCCCTTCCCGTGGCCAGGCAGGAGGTCTCCCCAGTGAAGGGCTGAGTTTGCCTCTCTGCCCCACCTATGATGCCCAGAAGGGATGGTCCCGTGGGAAGCCATACCAGCAGACAGCAGCCAGCTCTGGCACTGGCTCCCCAGCCTTTGGGGAGCAGCCAGCCAGCAGGAGGCAAATTTTAGGCTTTGCTGGTGGGGACGTGCGTTCAACTGCAGCACGTCCCTGGGAAGGCCCACAAAGGGGAGCCGTATGCAGGGGGAGCGCAGCTGGCTACCCCTCCAGCACAGGGCCCAGCGAGGTGCTGCATGCCCTGCTTGCAAGGCGCATAACCCACCCGCTCAAACTAGAGCCAAATCAACCCAGTTAATTCTTTCCGTGTATGAAACAAGAAGAGGACCAGCACTCACCACCTCCTTTGCAGCTGGGTGAAGGCAGGCGGCCCCCTCCCCAGATGTGCCACGCTGCTGCTCACCCCAGCACCGCTCACCCAAGGATGAGGATGGACAGAGGGTCATGCATAAACTGCGAGAAGCGGTTTCACAGATGCCATTTCATCCCACCTGTCCTGGTTTGAGCTAGAACAGAACCAATTCTCCATCCAGTGATCTTAATTTTCAGCTAAGTTTCTTCTAAGTGGCTGCACTTTCTGAAGTTAATGCCATATTTTTTTCAGACAGTGTCTGCTTCTAGCAGTGATAGTGCTTGACGTTTGTAGTTGCTACTAAGGAATGGTACGTAGAAAGGCTCCTGCTTATACTTGCTGCTATAGAAACCAAGGTCACTGCTAAATCTTGTGTGCTATGTTGAAGTGTGGCAAGTAAAAGGTTCATAAGTAAGGAAAAAGATCGCACCTGCGGGGAGAAGCAAACCAGACAGGTGACCCAAAACTGACCAGCTGACTATTCAATCCTATATACATCACACTCAGTATAAAGCTGAGGGACCACGAGGGTCAAGCCCTCTTCTTCTACGACCAGTGTCTGAGGAGAACTCTGTCCGTTCTTCTGCCTTCAATCCCAATCTGTGCATTCCCAAATCCAGTTCCTGAATCCAGTTCCCGTCTGCTGCTGAGTCCAGTCTGGGACTTTCCCAGTGCCTGCCATGCAGCTTCAGTAGTGATGTGATCATCACTGGGGGAGTTTGAGATTGGTTTTGTATATATTTGTAGGTATTTCATTATTTTCTTAATATTATTATATTTTCTTTTTGTTGTTATTGTTTCATCAAAATTGTTTTAGGTTTTTTTTCCAACCCATAAGTCTCTCTCCCTTATTCTTTTTGTCTTCCCCTTCTGGGAAGGGAGAGTGGTATTAACAGAGAGCATCTGTCATTCATTTAGCATCCAGCCCAGCCTCAACCCTTGATAGTATCTGTGTGACATTTCGGCCATCCTGCTCACGGGCTGGGCTCACCGCAGAGTTGCAGGGCACCGCTCACTTTCCTGGAGGGACCCGAAAAAAACCTCTCCTCCCCATCCCCACCAGCTGTCCCTAAGCAAACACCACTTCTGATGGCCCTGGGCATACCAGCACCCGAACTGTCCGCACTGCCTGAGCAGCAGCACCGCTTGCTGGACACAGGAGAGTTCACAGCAGCATCCTTCCCTGCGTCGCTGTGTAGAGGAGCCAGCAAACACATCATTACTGCAATTTTAAATCAAAGCGACAGCTGTCACCCAGCCCTTTTTGCACCTCTGGGCTGCAGCCAAATCCGTGCTTGCTCTCTTTCACCCCAGCGATGGGGCTGCGCACCAGCATTTTGATACCCACAACCCTGACAGGCATCATCACCATCCCAGTATCCCCAACTCCTCACACTAATGCAAGGGGTCCAAAATATAAGGGGCAAGTCACCGCCAAAGTATTTACTGTGAAGTGGGGACCAGTGGGGTGGGGGAGGCAAGGTCAGGAAAGAGGCTCGTTCCCAGTGTGGCAGCGTGGGGAAGCTGCACGTTTCAGAGCTGACCTCATACAGAAGTAGAAAAAGCTTACACAGGGTGGAAATTAAAACATAAATTCCACTAAAACCAGGAGCTGTTCAGCTCCCAGATTTTGTAGTTGTGGAAAGACTCTACAAATTAAGGGCAGTTTTGCTATAAGTAGTAAAAAATTATTTTATTTCTTTGCTGGTTCTTGAATTCAGTATTGCAATGCCCAGCAATGACACTGCTGGCCCAAGGCAGCTGAAAGGCACGCACCCACTCACCCTGACCCCTTGGAGACTGTCCTCTGCAGAGCTACAACTCTACACTGCGAAACTGTGCAGCTACACAACAGCCCTTGGCTTCCTCTGTCAGCATCAGTACCAATACTGATACAGCTCATCATACACACGTGAACAAATAAGAACAGCCAGGATGGGATTTTAAACAAATAATGTGTTGTTTACTTGCTTGTTGGTAGGAGAAAAAAATAAATAAAAGGCACACTAAGTAAAAGAGGCTTTAGCCATGATCTAACAGCCCACAATAAGCCCTTTACCCCACTCACCTGCGTCTCTGATGCAGGGGACATGATGCCAGCTGCATAATGCCAGGAGCCACCATTGGCACCCAGAGCTAGTGGTCCAGGACAGTCCCTGTGCCTTAGGGCATCTAATTCCCAGAGACTCAGGAAAAGCAGAACAACCCTTGCCCACATTGCAGCAGGTGATTGCCATAATATAGCAAAGCCCCAGTCCCAGCTCACTGGTGTCACTAGCCACCTTTTCCACCCCACTGCTGGGTCACCCAGGGGCAGGGATGGCCCTTGGAGTGCCTGGAAATAGTGGGGTGAGAACACCCCTCAGCCTCACTCCAGCAATCTGTGGATCCCCGTGCAGAGACTGCCCTTTGCTCCCCACTTGCTCCCGTCTGTCCCCAAATCACAGTACCCTGTGACTGCCCCGGGAGAGAAAAACAGCAACACCTCAAACCGCACCACTGTGGAGTTTGATGGTTTTAATGGTACAGAAATCAACAGGGTACATTTCAGCTTTGAAATACAAGTGCAAAAAGGATACAATATAATGTTTTCTGTACATTTCTTACAAAATATTACATATATCCCATCCTGAAGTGGTACTTCACACACCACTGAGCCCACGCACTGCGTGTACACACCAACTGTACCTTTTCCTCCTGTGCAGGATGCGGAGCTAACTGAAAGCTCCCATTGGCACCTGGCAGCGGTGTCTGCTTTTAGAGCAGTGGTAGGTAAATACAAGGGGTGAACGCAGGGACCTTTCTGCCCAGCATGCCCAGGCGCAGCTCTTGGAGTGCTGAGTGCCCTTGTGGCAAGCGGGCAGCATCGCCCTGCTGGCACTGACAGCTTTTGGCTGTTCTCCAGTTTGTTATAGGAAATGGCTTTTCTCACTGTGGTTTGGTGTTTTCCCTGTGTCTGGCATCACCACCCACTTCACGCTCTATGTAGTGTGCCCAGTTCGAGCCCTGGCGAGCCCGCCCCAATTTTGTCCACAGCATCTTCTCAGGAAGAAATCAATCAGGCTATACAGCAAATAAATTAAACCCCTCCTTCCCCCATACCTCCCCCCCAGCACCGATGAGGCTGTGAGGCACACGTCAGTACCCGTCCTGGCAGTCGTTGTCATCATAATCGGCAGCAGGCTTGTTGCGGTAGGCGCCCGCCCTCCGCTTGCGGCTCCTGCTTTCCAGGCTCTGTGGCGAGCTATCGTCTCCATGACTGCTGGATTCATGGGTGGCATCCTCCTGGGAGTGGCTCTCCTCATTGTCATCTTCATCCTCCTGGGACTCACTGTTGTTGCTCCCTGTGGACCTGCTGTCCTCACCTGCACCATCCTCTTGGCTGCCGTCATCCTCCGGGGATGCACTCTGGCTCTCGGCTGATGTGCTTGGCGTGTCCCCATCAGGGTCGGAGTCATTCTCGTCCTCCTTTGACTCCTCCACAGTGTCTTCTATGGACTGGCTCTGGTCGCCATCATCTTCCCTGGACTTGCTCTGGTCACCCTCGTCTTCCTCAGACTCACTGTCAGGCGCGGACAGTGCACTCCTGTCCTCAGCAGACTCCCGGTCCTCCTGCCCTTCTTGGGACTGGCTGCTGCTGCGCTCGCTTGATGTGCTCACCACATCCTGGGATATGTCCTCTGGGGACTCCCCCAGCTCTTCATCCGACTGGTTGGCGGTGCCCTCCTTGGACTTGCTGCCCTCATCCTCCCTGGAGGGGCTGTCCTCCTCATCCCCATCCTCCCCAGAGCGGCTGGTGCTGTTTTCCTCTGACTGGCTGGTGACAGTCTCTTCCGACTCACTGTTGTCCTCTGTGGATGGGCTGTCTTCTTCCGAGTCAGCATCCTCCACCTCTGGAGACCTGCTGTGGCCCTCCTCCCAGTGGTGGGAGCCAGCCCCCCAGCCGCTCTCTCCGCTCCCTCCCGCGGGCTGCGG